TGTGTGTGTGTGTGTGTGTGTGTGTGTGTGTGTGTGTGTGTAATGGGAGGATCAAGGGTGAAGGGACAAAGCAGGGAATATGGGAGAGACGGCTAAAATTAAGGACCATTTAAAAGGTAGTCTGGAAACTAATACAGTAGAAGCATCCTAAAATATATACATATATGAAGAGCCCCAACTAGACACTTCTTGTCATCAAATGAAGCTTCCAGTACCAATATTGGATAGCATCTATTTGAGTTGTTAGCCAAAAACGGTCTCCTGGGATTCCCCCAAAGAGCCTAGGCTGTTGCTAAGACTATAGGTTGCTCTCCACAAACTGATGGCAAGGCCCCATTGTTTACGTCAATACCTGCATAATTTATTGAATATGGAGAAGTCAGGCTGTTTCCTACATAGGCCTAAATCCCTACTTTCCTTCATCTTTGGTACTATAAGGTACTCTGCATGCAACCAAAGGAGAAATATGAATACCAACCCAGCCACAAACCCTTTGATTTATAATAGTGTCCTGCCTGCAAATATAAAACTGTTTTAAATTAGGCAAGTTAAATATGCCTCTAGAATCTGTAGGAATTCTCCTGTTAAACAGTGAAAATCAATGCATTTGTATAGTAGGAGCTACCACAGTTTTCATTGTATCTCATTATGTAGTCTCTGGAGCTTAGCTGAATTAATTCAGAATGCTTTAGTGGCTTTTCCCTCCAGGACTGATGAACTCATCAGTATGGATTGAAGGTCTGTTGTATGGTAGAAGCTGTATTGAGGGCTAGTAACTGTGACAGGCAATCATTGGACACATAGTCAAGTTACTTTTATGGTCTCGTACTGCAAGTCAAGTGACTGAATTACTCTGTTCAGAGGAAGGCCAAGTTAAGATGCTCTTTAGAGATGATATGTTGATATGTTAAATGTTCCAGGTGGTGTCCGCAGAATGAAATTCGGGGGAGAAGGACCAGTCTGCCATCTTTTGTTACTAAGACCAGCCTGAAAGGGGTTACATATTGTTCTTAGGCAAGAGGAATTCATCAAACTATTGATTTGGAGAGATAATAAAAAATGATTTGTGTTTTATAGAGGGAAAATTGATACATTGTAAAGAATATATTCAATTAAGAAGCTAGTCAAGGCATGAAACTCATGTTGTAGGAATAATATGCATGGGTTTTGTCAGTGTTCTG